GTAGTTATTAAAAAATATTATAATGGAATATAGGACTAAGCCCTGAGGGTGAGCACTGTAGAAAATGGTAAGAAGAACTCTGAAAAAATTGGGATTTCAAGACAGTGTCAGTATGTATTTTTGTGCATGGGTTTGAAAATATGAGAGTCTTAGAATCTCACTGGATGGAGCATTTTTGTCTTCTAACTGTGAAATTCTCAGAGCTTGTTTGTTGCTCTGCCTATTGTGGCAATGTCATAATTTCCTTTTCAGAGATTTATGAGCATTGCTTTTCCCCTCTTCCTTTCCCCCTTTTCCCTGCCATAAAAAAAAATTCCCAAAGGAGCTGACTACAACAGAGCAAACATTTTGTAAAGCAGTCCCTTAAATAGAAAGTCTTCCAAAAGAGACATTTTGCTGTAATTCCCTTGCCCCTGGTATGTACATCACGGTAATCAGCAACCAATTTCTTGTTTTAAGTGTTTAATCCAGCTCTTGTTTTATTGTATTGTGCAGCCTTGATAACAAAAAGGAGAAAACCCTGGCTAGGCTGAAGATGAATTTTCTCAAAAAAAAAAAAAAAAAAAAAAAAAAAAAAAAAAAAAAAAAGCACTGCTCCCTTTAAAAAGCACACAAAGTCTGTAAATGCTCTCCTAAAAGCTGAAAACTGTTTATTTGATGAGAATCCACAGCACAACTGCCTGATTCACTTCTCAATTCTTCACTGACCTTTTGACTTCCTTACTGCTGCGTGACACAAATTGTGTGATCCTGTCTCTGTGCTGTTTCTTTTTGTCATTAGCCATGATTCATCTGCTCTGTGACTTGTCAAACTTGAGTTATTTTTAATCCTTTGCTGGGTCTACCTAAAGGCATTATATCATATCTCCTGACACTGTACATGATCTCTCAATCCCTATTGTCCTACCCTATTCAGATTCCTTGTGTTTATTTCCTACCCCTGATAGGGTTCCATCTATTATTGCTCTTTTTAATAAATCTGCAGTTTTTGACAAGCTACAGCCACTTTCATTTTTCCAAACAATTTGTATGAACCTGTTAAACAGAATCAGTCACAGTTACAAATCCTTCAGGGCCTCTGTTGTTATATTCTCATTTGGCAGGAGATTGTTCCAGGACACAATTTTACGGCAAAATATATTTCAGACAGTTTAGTTTCACCTCTCACTTCATTAGCCAGAGTAATATCTGGAAAAGTTTGCTACTCTTCTTGCTGTTTTGATTATTTCTGCCCTTTTAAAATGTGGGTTGTGCTGAGCTGAGGTTTTTTTAATTATTTACTGACTATATCAAAGGAGATCTCCTTCTCTTCTGCTGTGCCTGCAGTGAGAAGATGTGAGGAAATGGCCTCAAGGTGAAACAGGGGAAATTCTGATCAGAGATGAGACAATTTTTTTTCCCTGTTCAGGTATTATGGGGCTACAGGGGCAGTGCTCGGTGGACAACTGGACTGGATGATCTCAAAGGTTTCTTCCAATCTTGATGGTTCTGTGATTCTATTGATTCACACTTGCAATATTTAGGTGAAAAGAAAATCAAATCTGTTTGCCTTTGTTCCTGAAGTGGAGCTGGAATTAAGCTTAAAGTTTGTCTTGTTTTGTTTTTATTAATAATATAATTGTTAAACTTTTGCTGCTAAAAACTACAAGGATATTTGCAATTCTAGTAAAAGTACTTCTCATAAACCTCAGGAATTTAAGATATAATCTCATCTTTAAGAGAACCAAAATACATTCAAGACCAGGAAAAGCACAGTTTAAACATCCAAGCAATTGTAATTCTGCGGTGTCATGACATTTCAGTCCTGCTTCCATGTAAATTACTGTTTTCAGGATGTAGAAAATTATATACAAGCAGTAGAGTTGCTGACATTCTTGCACGGGTTTCAAAAGTCACTTTCAGTGACACTTAGGATCTGCTTAATTTGCTTGGGAAGCAGAAAATGGAACTAAAAAATAGAAGTTACTTTGCTGCTTCTATAGTTTCTGCTCAGAAAACTGTATTGTTGTTAGTGTTGTATTTGGTTTATGAAATCTAAATGAGAAAAAGTAAATTACTGATTAAAATAGGGATTAGTGTTTACAAAGCTGTGGAATATATGTGCTGTCCAGTGGAAGTTGTGTGGCTCTGAAGAAAAGCATACTTTCCAAGTACCCATATAAAATTACATTGAATATGTTTGGATGTGGGGCTGAACAAAAGTCTTTAACTGTCATGATAATATTTTTGTTATTTTTCATTGTAATTCCTTGCAATCTATGCAAGACTGGATCAAATTTATGCAACAGAGATTTTGTTTTTTTTTTTAAGAATGTGAATTTAAAATTCTTTGTTATGGAATAACAGTGAAATATAAACTCGGGAAAAATGCTGAGGATGAGGCAGGCTTTCAGTTTTGAATTTATTTTTGCAATGGCATGGGTTATTCGTAGTTACAGAGAGCCTTCAACTTATGCACATCTTTAAGTGAAACAGGGAATTTGATTTCTCATTTCACCTAGGATGGGGAACACTGAGCAGTGCTGGTGCCTGGTACTCCACAGTGCCTGACAGCTGTGTTTTGACTACAAAAAAGAGAAATATTCTCTCTCACTGAGACTTAGAGTGATGCTGGCCACTGTGAGGGGGAGTTCAGAGACCTGGGGGCTGCATGGCTCCATATCCAACCCAAGGGCTCAGTCTCAGCCCTGGGAAGTTCTTGTCCTCCTCAGCTGGAGATGGATGGGAATTGTCAAGACTTTCAGCACCTGTGTGCTTTTGTCTGAAGGTAAATATCCAGTCCTAAAATATAGTACTAAATCTTCTTTTTTTAGGTTGATTTCCAATGTCAAACAGTTTGACAAACACATCAGATTCAAGGTATATCTCTCTGCTTTTTATGAAGAAGTGATTGTTGAAGGAACTCTTGAAAAGCTTCTTTTGGAGGGCAACATTTTTGTTGTTGATGGAATTGAAAGCTCAGGTCCTTGAGTTTCATGTGTGTTCACCCAATATCCTGCCCATTTCTCTGGTTCATCTAGTTAGTGGTTTATTTAAATATCTACTGCATTACATAGAGTGAAGTGAATTATTTTACTTCATAAAGCTAATGATATGCCTGGAAAAGATGAATTATTAGATTTCCAAAACTCAAATTAAAAAAAAAAAAAAAAAGAAAAGAGCAGTGATATTTACAAGCATCATAAGCAGGAGGGGCAGGTAGATTGTGGTGGGTTTCATGTTATTTTTTCTAGGCTGTTGTGTGGACTATTCCATCAGTCTTCGGCTGTTACAGGAGTGGGAGGTGATGCAGGAAAGGCTGAACATTAACGGGCATGGGTGAATTTACATCTCATTTTAAAGCATTTGAATTAGAAAGAAATGAATGTAAAAAGGCTGATGATTAAACACTTCCCAAACTCATGGAAAATGCTCACATAAACTTCTCTGAAAGAATTAATAAAAGGATTTCCAGCTCCCAGCCAGGCAAGAGGCAGCAATAAGTTTCTTTGCTATTAGTCAGTGGCTGCTGGGCAGAACATGATCTTAATTTTTTGTAGTGCTTCTCAATCCTATGAATTTATAGAGGGATACATCTTTGTGTTTCTGGTTAACATGCCCCATCAGGAGTGGCTCATGTGTCTCAGAGCTTGATAAGTATTCAGCTGGCCTTATCTGATCCTTTCCTGCACTCTTTTGGAAAGCTTGTTGAATTTTATCCTGCGCCTTTCCTGGTTTAGAGCTGATAAATGCTCAATACTGAAATCATGTAAACAATGTCAGTGTTTCTAAGGGTTTTCAGAGCTAAAATGCCCCATCTGATCACGTTTCACCCTTTGCAGAAAATAAACAGGATGCAATAGATTTTTATTATCTTCTGTTCCAAAACGATGTCAGATTAGCTGCAAAATAATTTTTGTTTGACAATGTTGTATAAATAATTTTTACTTGAATGGTAGTGATACCAAAAGATTTAAACCCAAGAGCTTTGAAGTATTGTCCAATTGTCTCAGTGTATACAGCATTAAGAAATGTTTTAACTTTTGTAGCTTTGAAGGGTGTCTTAATATTAAGCAAAAGCTGGTGTGCTTCTGCACCACATGGAAATGAGGAAATATTCAAAAGCACTTTTCCTTTTTGATAGTCCTTTATTGGGTGATGCTGAGTGACCACTTCAAAGATGAACCCCCTGCATTTGTGTGTTTGCACAGATCTTAACTCCAGCCCAACTGGGGCCTGAGGAACCGATGCAGTACAAAAATGACTGCTGGAGTTTTTGGGGAATAGAGACACGTTTTAAACCATACTTTCATGAAATAGGAATTTTAGTCCTTTATTATGAGAAATGATGGATTGTATGAGTTGCTTTTTATAAAATAGCAGGAAAGATTATTTCAGAAAAGAAAGCAGAGACAATTCAGAAAAGGGAAAGCCAAAATGTATCTTGATATCATTATTGAATTTGGTATAAGAAAAAAAAAAAAAAAAAAAAAAAAAAAAAAAAAAAAAAAAAAAAAAAAAAAAAAAAAAAAAAGGAGAAACAAAACTAGAGGTAAAAAAAAAAAAACCAAAAGACATCAATGAGTCTTTGAAAAAAAAAAAAAAAAGCCTGAAATCTGTGTGAATTTGCAGCTTAAAAAGAAAATGTTTAAAATGTCCTGTGAGTTAAACTCCATTGGCTGATCTCAGCAGCATCAGGAGCTTTAGGAAGACCATCAGGTTTCAAATCCACTGTCAGTTCATCAGGTTTCCTACTGGTGTCACTGCAGTGGTGGTGTTGCACTGTATTAAAATCCTTGCAAAATTCCCATTCCAGGGGTTTATGTTTATTCCTGCATTTGCAGGGGTAGGAACAGTTTCAGGATGGGTCCTCAGCCCATAAAAATCACTTCAAAGGAAAATCACTTAGAATGAACCATCCTTTTAATTTTGTCACTTTTTTCAGGAGGGAACTTTGGAAAAGAAGCCTGAGGATGAAAGCAGCAAATAAAGCTCTGATAAAAGCCTTGAGATAGTCATCTGCCTTTCAATCACTCTGTGCTCCATGGCCATTGTCTTCTTACCTCAAGGTACCACTCACCTCTGGGAATTTTTACCTCAAACCTTATGAAAATGGAACAAAAAAGTCGAAGGTTTTGAGTAGTATTTGGAAGTATTATTTTAAGAGAATATTGAATTTGATAAAAAGTTTTTTTTTTCTTTTGTGTAATTGAAATACGATTAAATTTTTATTAAATGGTCAGTAATAAGTGAAAAGTTCACCTTTTAAAAGTTTATTATAGTTTCTAGTAGTCTCTTAATTCAAAAGAAAAATTAAAAAACTATTAAAACCTTTTAATAGTGTAAGATAATAGCTATGCTCATGGGTAAAAACGACAAACAGAACAAGCAGGAACAAAAGTACTTTTGTTCTTAAGAATGTTGGATGAAATTTAAAAGAAGACATATTATAAGCATTACAACATCTAGATTATAAGCATTCAATAACATCAAAGAATACATGCTTAGCATATGGATACATATATTCAATAGAAATAATTTTTTCTCTCCCCCACTCCTCATTATTTTTTTTTAAATTTTTAACTTGTATTTAATTCTATGAAGTGTTTCCTTCTTTTTTTTTCCAGTAGTGCTTGTGAAATTTATGCCAAATGGAGGCCTTATTGTTGATTTAAAATTATTACAGTACAAAAATATCTGTGCAGCACGGTAACAAGTGCCTATGAGCCAGAAGTGCTCAACTCCATTAATCTCATATAAAGATATAGATAATTTCCTATACAGATAAAAACGTCAGGCAATATAAACCCAGAGCACTCTTACCAGAAACAGAGACTTTGCATTGTATTTGGTTCCTCTATGCTCATTTTTGCATCCTTCCCAAATACCACATGAGTTTCAGTGGTATCAGATTTTGTGGCAGTCCATAGAAAGCAGTGGAAAAAAAATTCCAAAGGGAACTTTTGTTTGATTTTCTGGATATTTATTCTGTGCAGGATTTCCCAGGGGCTTTCTCTTTTAAGTGAAGCTGGCTGGCTTGGTTGAAAGGTACAGATTTCCTGTCCCTGTCTCTGTAGGTTTAGCATCACAACAGCCCTGATGTTTTCAAAGAGAGAGAGAGAGGCTCAGCCCCTGCATCCCAGCTGTGCTCCTGACTGGCATTTTAGGGAAAAGAAAATGAAGGAGGTCTGGAAAAGAGGGGCTCTCATGGAAGAGAGGAAGGGAGCGTGAGGGGAGTATCTCAAAATTATAGAGCAGCCCATGGGTGCCATCAGTAATTTCCATCCCACCATGGTAGGGTGGAAATGCAAGACAAGACCCTTGCTCTCTGCCTGGGGCCAGGAGCCATGCCTGAAAAAATCTGACCCCAAGCACTGAATTTTATTTACTTTTAATCTGGTTTCTAGGCCAGCATCAGCTGCATGTCCTGGCTGGGCTGGCCTTTTTCCTCACAATTAATATTTGGATGAGTCCCAAAGGCAAAGCTCTGTAGATAATCCCTCAGGAGAGGAGGATGAGAGTGCCTTTGCCAGTGTTGTGGTTTTGGGTGCTCTTCTCTCAGGTGGGCACTGTGCATAGGGAACTAACTTGGCTTCTAGCTCATTTCTGATTTCTGAGTTGAGATGCTGGATTTCCTGCATGACAGGAAATCACTCTGTCCTGGATTCCTCACTTAACTTGTCTGAAACACACACACTGTCTCCCTCTTCACTGGCTTTTGAAGTTTCACTCAATTTTATTTATTTTTTTCCCCTGAAAAAAGGGAGAGCATTCCCTTTGATTTTACTGCCCTTGGATGATTCAAGCAGCTCTGACTGAGAACATTTGAAATGATGTATTGACATTTCAGATGGATCCCTGGTAGCCTTTCATGGCCACTGGTGCCAGGCTGGGGTTTGACAGTGTGGGCTCCACTGAGTTGCTTTGCAAAAAAACATGTTGTGTGAGGTGTTCTCCTAATATTTCATATTTTAAGCCAAAATAAATATTCAGGGAGGAGTAATTAAAGGTGATTTGTGTGCACAGAGGTTAGGGAAGGTAGGCCTGCAGGTAGTGAGACAGACTGAAAATTTAACAGGGTAGAAATCCACTTTGAGCTTACTATGCTGTTTAGTCTGGTGACTGCAGCACTAGCAAAACTACCCCAGCTAAGGAGAAAGAATGCAAATTTCCACACTGAAAAGATAAGAGATAAGAAAGACTCCTCAGACCTTGAAGCAGACAGGGCAGAATGACCCAGGAGTCCTTTCTCTACTTTCTGACAAAAACTGAGTACAAGTGTAACTAGCTGTAAGTGTAACATGAAATCATCAGAATGAATATGTATGAACCTATTGTGAAATTCTGTGCAAATAGAAATTAGTCAGGATAATAAAAAAAAGATTGAGAGTTCTCAGAGGTGCACATGTCCATTGAAGGGCAATGAGTCCCCAGGTGTGTCCAGCGCTGTGAATGAACATTCCCATTTGTTGCAGCATTTTTGAGAGAGAGAGGGCATGATTTATGTTTGGAATGAGATTTGAGCTACTCCAGCCTAGGCCTCAGATTTGGGCCTTGCGAGGCCTTCCAGGCTCTGACACAGTTAGAAATGAAGAGCTTGTGGCACAGTTAGAAATTGAATTACGGTGTGATGGGGAGCACTGCGCTGTCTGGGTGTGAAGTAGCATAGGTTTATAGTGTGAGGTTTAGGCCACCTTAAGACAAAGATAAACAATGTTAGCATGGCAATCAGAGTGCCTTTGTAAACTCTAAACTATATAGAAGTGTATGTAAACTGCCATCTTCTCTTGGATAAACGGAGAACATTGCATTAATCATATTGGTTGGATGTGTGTTCTGTCCTGTCCAGCTCTCCCGATTTATGAGGTCCCTGGCTTTGCCCATTCCCTACAAATCTTTATTGGAATTGTAGGGTTTGATTTTTCATTGGAGTTTCAGTAGAGGGGGGTGATTTGTCTATGGAGAGCGTCCTGCTGGTCTAGGGGAGCAGCTCCCTGCCCCACACCATGACCCACCCCGGTGTCCCCAGCCGAGAGCTCCTCTCACTCTGGGCAGGGGGGAGCTGATTTTCAGTGCTCAGCAGCTTGGGTGTCCCATGGGCTGGACTGGTGATCTTTTTACCTCCTGTTTCTGACCTGATTTTGGCCATGATAAGGTGCTGGCCAAAATCCCCTGTACATGGAACCCAAACGTGCCACTTCCTTGGACCTCATTATTGGGTTTAGACTATTTATATTAGGAGGGATTTCAAGTCCTAAGGTGAAAAAGCATTTTTGATGTTACTGTGAAAAGTGATGTCTGAAGACAGTTTTTAAGTAGCAGAAGTTGGAAAATAATTAAATTACAAAGCTGTTGAACGGCTTTATAAAACTATGTATTTTGCAATTTTCCTTTTGGAGAGGATCACTCCATCACAAAATCTATTTTTTTAATTTCTTTTTGCCATTTTTAGGCACCTGCCCATTGTACATGACACGCAGCTGACGGGGGAGAAGGAAATGAATAAGGGGATGAGTAGGTTGTGTTTCTTTCTGGTATCACCTTGTTTTTGGAATAATTTTGTACCCTCCACCCTTTTTTCTTCTCCTGGAATCTGCAGGTCCACATCAACCAAATCTCTTGGAAGCAGCAAGTCCCAAAAGGATGTGACTCCCGTGTCACCAGGGAATGAGGGGGGTGGCAGGAGGGGACAGTTTCAATGGCAGGGAAAGAGAGTCCCAGGGCATTTCTTTGTTTGTTTATTTGTATTTGCATTTCACATGGAATAACTGTTTTGGTTTTTAATTATGTGTGAGGAGTGTTGCCAAAAATAGAAAACATTCATTTGAATTTTCAATGAAGCTGATTGTACCTCTCTTCCATTTAATTTCCATGAATATTCTAAGGACCATAAAGGGAATATTCACTGGAGCAATAAATGTTATGCTAATTCTGTGGGACAAAAATGGGAAGTGAGTTTCAAATTCCAAATATTCTTAGTGATAACCTATTTTATGCAGTACCCATTCAAATCCAGGCTTAATTTGCATTGACATTAGAGACTTGAGGGTGTCTCTAGACTTCAGGGTATTTGTACACCTTCTGCAGAATCAGTGAATCTAAAATGCATCAAGCAAAATTGTGCCTGATAAAAGAACTGCAAATTTTAGGAAAAAAAAGAGAAAAATATTTAATTTTTTTCTTAAACCCACTTGGACAAGGGGGAAAATTTTCCATAAGCTTTTGCACTCTTTGTGTATTCCTCCAAACAGGATGAAGAGTGTGGCAAAAGGCTTTGTGAGTTTGGTGCTGAGAGTTTGCTTCTTTCTGTCATTTTCCTGCGACTACTGAATTTTCCATAAAAAGCCAAGTTCTGTTTGCATAATTGTATTGACAAACAGTTATATTTCTACTGGAGAACACACCATTAAGCTGTTTTATAATATGATTTTGTTTTGCTATTTTCTGAAGTTTTCTTTTGATAAAGAAATTTTTAATAAGCAAAATTTTAATAATGCTGATTTGTGGTATATTTCCAATATTTGTTTTAGAGTAACTTTAACCCTTAGTTAGGCCTTTCACTAAATAATTTCCCCTGAGGATTTTTCTGCCTGAAAGGCCTCCTTTAGTGCAGACAGGTATTTTGACTCTATATTAACATGGGGTGCATTTAATTTTAAATTGATATTATCTTTTTTTTTTTTTTTCAATTTAGTTTAAGCCTCTTGCAAGTGTCACAATAGAAAATGAACAAGCACTCTGAAATCTGGAATAAGTGTTCAGGGAGGATCATTTCAGCATCTGTAACACATGCTTTGTTGTGCTGAAATTTCTTTCCTTTGTAGAAAGGAGAAAGCCTAATATTTATGGGCTGCAAGATTTTATTTATGGTGTCAATAAAGCCTCCGTGTATTATCTATACGTGAGACAAATGCTTTGAAATTTCCCCACCAAACCAGCTTGATTGGCTTCTTTCCCACCCTGTCAATGAAAATGCAAATCAATAAATAGTATTTCATTATCTTGTGTCCAGAAGCTGATTTGGCAATTAATTGTGTGGGATGTGTGCTCTGTGGCTGAGGGGGTGCTTGCAAGGAGCAGGTGATGGATGCACTCCCACCTTTGGAGACCTCGCTTTAATCCTGCCATAGGTCACGCTGGGAATGAGTTTCTGTGGGCATGTTTTACTCCTTAGGGCTTGTCTGTCCACATCGTAAACCCATCAGGCACAGAAACGCTGCTAACCAGAGCAGCAGGCAGCATGGGGAAGGGTAATTCATGTCCCTCAGCAGAAGTGTGACTGGGAGCAACCAAGCTCAGTTTATCCTGAATTTAAGTCCCTTTGAAAAGCATTTTTTTTCCCAGAGACCTTCCTGAAACTCCTTTAAGGCCCCAAGTGCAACTGTAGCATTGAGCATTTTAATATATTCAGGAAACACCCATTTGACAACAGCTCTTGTTGATTATTGGATCTTTCGAGTATCGGTGACAAAATAAATCAATCAGAATAAAAATAAACAAAATCAATCCATCAGAATAGAGAGATGTTCTCAGAGGTGATTTGAATTCCAGTGTGTCCTGTGTTCCCCAGGCAGCCCGGTGACCCCATCCCAGGTTGGGGAAGAATCCTCGAGCCAGAGCTCAGCACTGCATCCAGAGCCTCACGACAGGAGCTGTGCCTCGAGTGGAGGTGGGAGGTTTATTATTTCACACATTCTGTGTGTGTCTTCATCATGCACACCCCCTGTTTCTCATAACTCCCTGCCTGCTGAGCAGGAAAAAGGAAAAGCCGAGTGGGAAGCGGGAGGGATGGGTCTGTGAGAGGCACTTGTGCCACTCACACATGCAGGTGCGACACCTCATCAGCTGCAGTGCCCTGCTTCACACCGAGCCTGCATGGATAAGCATTCCCAGATTAGCTGGCAGGCCTTGCATTTCAAGGTATGACTGTGTTTCTGGCATGTGGTGTAATCACAGGGAAGAGTTTTGATGGATAGCAGAGAAGGAGAGGGATGCTCACTGAGGCCAGTTGATGCATACAGGGTCATTTATGTCTTGTCCATAAACTTATGAAGTACAAGAAGAGACCCCTGGGAGGCCAGTGACACTAATGGAAAAGTTAAGTGCGAGACTGTACAGATGGACTTGATGGCTTTTATTCAGAGTTGTTATTAATTTAGACAAAAGCAATCTAAAGCTGTCAGGAGTGCAACCTCTTCATTCACTTCTGTAAATTATCATAGTGTCCATCACCTCAATAACAGCAACTCAGGTGTGTTTGTCTTAGAGGTGAATCTCAACCTGCTGGATTAACTTGTGATTTGGAAGGAAAAAATTAACTTTCATTCTCTAATAAGCTGTGGGGTTTTTTTTAAGATTGCCTTTTTAATATGCTTGAAAGTGGTGCAAAGTCAAAGTGTGAGCCCATAGCAAATGCAACAAGTTGAGTAGCAGGCATTACCCTTTATCTAACTGGTCTGTGGATGGCCATGAGAAGTCATTAGTTCCCAAATTCCAATATTCACAGGTATTTCTGCTATTGTAAGGAAAGCTGGTGACAGCAGGGTGAATTTTTTTCTCATTTCCAGTTACACTTGAGTACCAGCTGTACCATGTAATAGTTGTAACATTTTTTTCCTTCAAAGGGAGCATCCCTCACCCTGATGAGAATTGCAGCCTGAAAAGATCATTCTGATTCAGTGCTCTCAACTGTCACCCCTCTGACCTCACAAAATAGACTTTTCAGCTTTTCTGTATCACCTCCTGCTTTCCCTGGGCACGGTGCATTCTCATCACCTCCTCCTCCAGGCTGACATTTGATTCATTGAGATGCATTCTGATAGAGAAATCCCACATTAGCTGCTCTTGGGAGACTGACAAAACCTTTGTGATGGATAAGCTTTCTTCTGAAGTTTGAGATAGCCTAGTGTACACCTGATTTTTTTTTTTTTTTTTTTTTTTTTTTTTTTTTTTTTTTTTTTTTTTTTTTTTTTTTTTTGTGTGTGTGTGATTCTGCACCTATGAGGTAGGGCAGCCTCAGAAACATGACGTCTGTTACATGATATTTGTAACTCTAGCCGTGGAGAAGCACAAATGATCTCGTGTAATGTTAAACAACAGCTAGTCTCTCTTTCCTTTTCCTTATCTAAGGAAACATAATTCACTCTGTGCCTGTGTCCCTAATTAGTAACACTTGCAAGCCTTGACCTTTCAACAGAGAGCTCAGCTCAGCCTCATCTGTAGAGAATTGCCCCTATGATGTAGCTGTGCATAATAATAAAAACAATTTAAAACGCATTAAAACCTTAAAAGAACCCCACCAAAACCCAAACCACTTAACAGTTTAGACCCAGACTTCTCCAGTTTATTCATGTTGAGCAGTAATTTGCTCTGGTAATGGTCCCAATGAGGCAGTTTTAAGACACTGTGGACTGAAAGTAAGAGCATTGTTTAATAAATAAGCAGTTGTGTCCTTCTTTGTTCGTTTATGACTCAATGTTCTTTGTGTCCAGTTCATGATTTGTTCCCAGGATCAGCCTACTTTCAACGCTTTGCTCTTTTGCCTTATTTTCTCTGATTATTTCTCATAATCTGGAAGAGAGAAAAAAAAATTGTTAAAGTCCCAGCTGGAATGCAGTGATTTTGTCCAGACAACTGTCACTTTTAGGGATGACTGTAAATGTTTATTTACTAAGTGACAGTAAGACGTTTTTTCTTTTTTATGTTACAACTATATATTGCCAGGTCTCAATTTCTTATTCTAGATCATAGAAGTGTCCTCTGCCTGAAATAATTTTAAAATTTAACTAGATGTTTCTCATACACATTGATTTAATATACATATTTGTCTAGTTCAGAACAACAACAAAAAAGCCAGACTCCAAAATCAGTATGTTGTCTGAAGAAAAGTAATGCCATATACAAATTTTTTCTCTCTAGTCAGAGCACTTGTCCAGGGATTTCCATGGGATTTTCCACCTGATTACTTTAAACTGCACTTCTCCCTTTGTATCAATCACTGGAGAAACAGATGAGTGCTTACAGCATAAGAGCTGCTGATGGTTTTACCTTAAATCTAACTTGTATAGGTTCTCAGATTTCCTTATTTTCACTTTATTTCATGGAAAAAATAATGTCTTTCAGTATTATTTGGAGAAGAAATTGTATTAAGCCTCAGGACCAGGAGGGCTTACCATACATTGAATTCCTTTTCTAATTAGGATGAATTATGTTAAAAAAAAATTCCTCACCTTGAAGATTTCATACATTAGAGAAGAAAATTTCTGCTTTAAAAAAAAAAAGAGGGTTTACTACTACATTAGCAAAATTGGGAACAAAATCTGTGCCCATTTTTCCTTCTCTTTTGTGAAGCCAGTAATAGTGGCTGCCCATTGTCAGACAAAATAATATCAAAATTTGCCTGCTCTTATGCATTTTACTGGTGTCTCCTCTTTGCAATCGAGATGCCAAATCTATCCAGGTGATATTTCAATGCCCAGCAGCTTGTGAGAAATACTCCCCTGACCATGTGTAGGGGCTGAATAACCAATCAGCCCGAGGCAGGCCTTGCTGTGAGTCCCAGGGATGCTGGGTGATGGTTACCACAGGGCTTGGATTTGGAGCAATGTGTTTTTCCAAGATGAAAAGAGGGAGTACGAGCCTGATTCAAGGAATTCATTCCCTCCAAGGTGATAGTGCCCATCAAGTTTGACCTTTTTATGCAAGTATATGTAATAAACTGCAGATTATCCTTTCCTAGGCTTTTTTTCCCCCAAGATATTTCGTTTTATAATGTTAAAAATTATGAATATTACTCTGATCTAGTATGCAGGGATGTTTCTATTCAGCTCCCCTCACTTTAATTCTAAAGTTCTTTAGAATGCATTCTTTAATGCATTCTTTTGGTAATTTATTTGCTTTCAACTAAGTGCTGTTAACCTCCAGTTGAGAACATTTGGGGTTTTAAAATTCAGATTTGGAGGGTCTGAAAAGAATAATGTGTATACATTTACATTCCAGACTTCTGCAACTGTGATGAAAACAAGATTAAAGAAGAAATCATTGGCAATGCAGTGCTTCAACGACTGAACTGCTGACATTTTTTGGTGGATATTAAGGTATCTTTAGCTGCTATTTTAGCAAAATGGGCTAAATTTTCTTCTATATTGTATTCTAAATTTCAAGAGATACATATAAAGGAAAATGCTGCCCTGCTACTTAAAGAGTTCATTTTTTTGCATTTTTTTGTTAATGCTGGATTTTCTTCTGTTGCACATGTACCTTACACATTTGTAAGGGCCTTCTTCTGCAGCTGCCATGCAAATAGCTGTGTATTTGAGATGGCTGAGATCATACCTAACTCATCTCCCTTAAAAGCTACCATTTCAATTCCTCCTCCCCCTGCTACTTGACCCAGGCTCTGTCTGAGCTGCTCAGCTGTGGAAACAACTGCAAAGGAAACAGATAATGATGGTAAACTGGGGTGTCATGCTTCTCTTTGTGTATGGCCATTGTAATACAGATCCAGCAGGCCAACAATGACTCATCAGTGGCACCAAGCCTGCAATTTTGCTGTGTTTGCAATTTCAGAGAAGAAAAGCAGCTCACAATTACATGTATTAAACTTTCAGATGATGCAGAAATGATGACGTACATCACTTCTATTATCAGTCAAACTCCAGGGAGAGGGCATCGGATCTTTATGCAACCCAGGTGCACATTTTTAATAATTTAATCAGCCCAAAGCACCCTCATTTTGCCAGAGAACTCTAATTCATGCCTTGAAAACCACACCATGCCCTGTGTCTCCCCCCTGCCAGTGGCAGTAAATTACAGCTCACCATTCATAATCTTTACCTGCATTTAATCCAGCACCCTCTGCGAGAAGCTCAGCCAAATCTGCTCCACAAGCTGAAAAAACTGGACAAAAAATGCCATGAATTATCTTCATGGGGATTATGAATAGCAAAAGGGACTGCTTAAAAAAAAAAACCAAGAAGCCAACAAGCAGCTGATAATTTGGTTTAGGCAAATACATGTGAGAAATGTATTCATGCTGGTCTCTGAGAATGATGTTCCTCAGCAAGGATGGATTGGTTGTGGGAGAGAGCCAGACCCCTGTTTGATTTTTCTCTTTTCTGCCCCTTTTCCTTTCCCAATGTTGTCACAGGCCAGGGAATAGGCTGGCAGACTGAGCAAGCAGCAATCCTGGTGGGGAAACTCAGCTCACCTTTTGGCTAGGTGGAACTCAAATTTAGAAACCCACTTAGGTATGATCTCAGCTACCCAAAATACACAGTCATTTGCATGACAGCTGCAGGAAAAGGCACTTCCAAAAGTTTAAGGTACATGTGCAACAGCAAAAGATCCAACATTAATAGATGAATTCAGAAAACAGAGCACATTAAGTAGCAGTGCATCACTTTCCTCTATATATACCTATTGGAACTTAAAATACAGAAGGGAGGGGTAGGGTTAGAGGGATGACCTAAGCAAATGCCATGGGAAGTGGGATGCATTTCCAGAGGGTAGAAATGTGATTCAGGGTTGGGAGGAGGTTTTGGAGGGGGTATGTGTGGGTTTGTTTTGCCTACCAAGAGCTTGCTGCCAGCATGGGTATTCCTAATTCCCAGATGGGGCATTAGGAATTCCCCAAAAAACCTTACAGGCGTGAGGGGCCTCCATCAGAGCAGGGCTCAGGGACAGCCCCAGCTCTGCTTTGTGCCTCTCCCACTCTGGTTTGTGCCTCTGCCCCTCTGCTTGCCCACCCTGGAGAGTTCCCCATGGCCCTGAGTGCTGGAATTGGCCACCTTTGTGTCCCCCAAAAAGCTTAATGAAAGAAGCTGGAGCTGCTGTTTTGAAAGCTGTCCAAAGAGGATTTGGATGCTCTGCTCTCATTAAAAAACTGGTGGGAAAACAGGTGCCAAAATCCTGCTGTTGACCTCGTAAATCTGCCTGCACCAAAAATCTCCAGAGAGAGTTGAGAAAGACAAGTGCATCTTCATCTGACTGGCACTGGCTGACATCACACCACTTTCAAAGTATTTTTTTTCCTTATGTCTTTTTGCCCACACCAAAATGAATGGTGGGGATGGGGAGAAGAAACACACCTAAGAATTTTTTTAATGTTGTTAATTTTGGATTGATACTCTTCTCTTATTTCAATTTCCTTTTAAAGGGAATTTAAAAAATCCAACTAGTCAACCAAAAGATTAATTTTCTTACTGTTCTACTTAAAACTATTTCTAGGTACAGAACTTGCCAGTCTTTGTAGGTATTGGCATAAAATAGGAGAAAATATTGAAAATTAAGAAATGTACTTTGTTTTTCATCACCAAAAGAATATTTTTACATTTAAAGAGTGGGTGAAGAAAAGATAGTCAAAGCTTAATCCCCACTTAACAAAAACATTTCCATGTGTTTTACTTATATGAGTCATTCACAAGAAATGAGTCACAACTGAGGAGTGAAAAATCTTCCATAGACATTAATAAAAATATTAACAAAGATAACTACTTATAACATATTGCTTTAAAAGAGCACTCAAAGATGCTATAGAGGTTAGAGGGGACCAATATGCTTAATTTCTTCTAGCTGAGCTTTGTCATTTGGTAGTCAAGGTAAATAGTGCAGGTTTTATGAAAAGAAAATAAGTTGTTTCAAAAATTCATGATTCCTGCTTAACATATCTGAACTTTTATAAACTTAAAAGATACAAAACATCTCAAGAAATCATATTGGCTCATTCAGAGAAGTGTTAAGCAGAATAATTAGAGTCCATCCATGTGATTGTAGGGAAGTTTCTGATAATCTGATACATTTCCTCTGGTGATTAAAACATTTTGCATGATGAGCTGAGACAGTGGAGTATATTTCATGTTTATAGATTTTTCAGTGTCATCGCAGTTAAAGATTAACAGGACTCCCAGTGCTTGTTCTTGGATTTAACAATCAACACCAGAATAAATTAATCCAGATCCTCTTTCCAGAAAAGACCTGCTGCCCATCAGTGCCATGTCCCAGGCAAAGGTAATCCTGATGTCTTTTTCTCTGATATTCTTGGTGATGATGAAGTTAAACATGCTTCAGATCCATACAGACTGATTGAACTATTCCTTTTTCCCTTCCTATTTTTGATAATTATTCATTGTTAGCCTCTCCATAGTGGAAAGTCTGTTACTGCATGAGCAGTGGTGTTCAGTATTTTGGAATTTCAATTCTGCAGAGGCTGTGCAGTTTGGTTTGTTACCTTGAGAGTGGAGGTAGATGTGATAGAGCAAGAGGCTGAGGCTGCACAATGACACTCAAAACAGGGAGTAAATCCCTGGAAACTCTCAAAAAAAGCTGTAAACAACAAAGCATGTGTTACAGATGCTGAAATGATCCTCCCTGAACACTTATTCCAGATTTCAGAGTGCCTGTTCATTTTCTATTGTGACACTTGCAAGAGGCTTAAGCTAAATTGAAAAAAAAAAAAAAGATAATATCAATTTAAAATTAAATGCACCCCATGTTAACATAGAGTCAAAATACCTGTCTGCACTGAAGGAGGCCTTTCAGGCAGAAAAATCCCCAGAGGAAATTAATTGGTGAATGGCCTAACTAAGGGTTAAAATAACTCTAAAACAAATATTGGAAATATACCACAAATCAGCATTATTAAAATTCTGCTTATTAAAATTTCTTTATCAAAAGAAAACTTCAGAAAATAAGTTTGAATGACTGTCATTGTGATGGTGGGACACAACTCTCTTCAGGTTTGGGCAGCTGAAAGTTGTGTGTAGTTACAGAGGTGACATCACAGGATGTATCCATGTGTAAAGGTTGTGGATTCTGCCCAGGATTTATGGGACACAAAATTTGCTTTGTCTGATATCCTGTGTGAGTGGTGAATGCTTTAAATTTCAAGTAGCTTCAAGCCCACAAGATTTGCCAGCACCATAGAAAGATGTAAAGTTGCTGCAAACCATTTTCCCTCGATTTCTTTACTGAAACACTTCCCCTTACTTATTTTAAAAGCAGTAAGTATTTCCCCAGAGGATTTCTTGGCTTTCCAGCCCTTTTGCTGGTGCCAGATATCAGTGCCAGGGGTTTCTGTTGTGGTTCCAGTGCCTCTTGTGCAGGAATTGTCTGGAGGCCACAAACTGATTTGGCTGCAGGCAGCAGATGGGGCTGACAGGGCATTGACTCCTGGTGTGGTTCAGATTATAATTATTGACCCAGGGGTGAAAGGCTCTGGATCCCATTACCAACTCCCTGAGTCATCCTGTTCCTTACAGCAGGGCTGGGAACAGCTGATGCAGGATGCTGCTGCTCGATAGCATCTGCACTAAGAGCACTTACTCAGATTTATTGGCCAGCATAACTTTCAGGTTTTGTTTATTGAGCAGCAAATAGGGATTTTTATGGAGCTGCACTTATGAAATCCTCAAGTCCTTATGCAGCTAAACTTTTTGCTGAAGACAGATCTCTTGAATAAGAATTAAAGACAAGGCAGTCTGAAGTTATTTTAGAATCCGAGCATACTCTGATTCACAAAAATTTACTGGATATATTAAAAGCTCTGAATTCAGGAAATCCCCTGGTGTGACATTTTTCTGATATGAATGCTGTGGCAGTCCTTTTCATTTGTGGTTGGGACTTAGGGCACGTTCTCATTACCGCTATCCGAAAAGCTGCACATCTTTGCATTCCAGCCCTATTGTTTAATGGATGTCTCTGAATGGAGGAGAACTGAGATAAAAGGGACTCAGAGTTAGGAAGGAGAATCCTTCTTGCTCTTGGATGCAGGTGAAAATCTGGACCATCACCACCCTGTCATGTTTATGAGATGATTTTTTCTTTCTTTTTTTCACATCACTCTAAACAATAAATGTTGTGTCCCATTCTGTCTGTATTATCCTCTAACCAGCTTTTGTTTGAATGATACAACAAAAATGAAGCTGCTAGGCACCAGATATCTCAAAATTTTCCCTACTTTCTTATATTTTTACAAAAAAATTATGTGGTCAGATGCATTGCAGAAAATCACAGCACTGGAATTTGCTAGGGAAGAACTTTAGGTTTTTTGCTTCAACATAATTTAGTCTCTCTGAAATACCTCCACTTAAAAGTGCTGCACCATCCAAAAGTTAGTGTCAAATAGATCATTTGGTCTAACAGAAACAAAATTTTCTGGCATAAACCCCAAATTATCTTTTGCAGAGCTGTTCTCATAGGTGCATAGAAAGGAGATTTATACAAGTGCTAAAACTTAGAGTGGTCAACACTGGATTCATGTTGAACTTTTTTTCTCCAAACACACTTAAACTGTGGAATTGTTTTCCTGAACTTCAAGGCAGTGTATTTATTCTAGATATAAAATTTATAAGTCACTAACAATCCTCAGGTGTCTATAACTAGTAATTTCCCACTCTGTCATGTGATTGTACTGTTATTTTTTGTTGTTTCTTTTTAACTTGTGCAATGCTAAAATTGTCGTAGATTGTCAGGGAAACAAAGAAATTGCTTCTTTATACCTTCAATGCATTTGGTTAAGAATTAATTATGCACTATGAAAATTCTGGGGCACTGGTGAAAATATGTGAAAATAAAAAATAATATTGGTTATAGGAACAGCGGCAATAAATGTCTGCTTTTATATAAAAATATAGCAAAAAAATAAGAACAGAAGCTGTCTTTTAAAGTAACTTTTCTTTAAAAATATTGCTAGAAATTATTTATAGCATTGATTGCGCATCAAATGAGGAGCAGATTTCTTATTTTTGATTATTTCTGATCCTCTTGTTCTTCCAGACACCTTAAAGCCTGTAAATAGAAATGACAAATCATGCAGGAAAAACAGTTTGGAAACTCTTAGTCAAGAATGGCCAGGATTTCAAATGAGAAATGGCAAAAGCAAAAAAAATAAAAAAGAGTACTCTGAAGATTTTATAGGTTTTATTGTGATTAGCTGGAAAGAGGAGCAGTCTGGAAGGAAGTGGGCACATTAAATATAACTAAGTCTGCCACATTTCCATCTGCTTTTATGTATCCAAACCAGAAAGGAGCCACCTGCTAATCAGAAATGCCATGTCTCATTTATGAATGCAATTAGTCTATTTTAGTTAATTGTCTTAATTAGTTTGGAAAACTTTAAACATATGGGCAAACAGCAGAAGATCAAAAGATAATAGTGATGCAAATGGAAGTTGTAAAAATATGATGAGTAATCAGAGGAGTTCAGGGCAAAATCAAAAATTGCAACATAAACAAGGTTGTGGTAAAAGTAATAATTAAAAACCCCAGCCAATTTAAGGAAAACATTATCTAAACAAAACATAGATTAAAAATGGGAGAGGGAGAAAAGCAGTGAAAATTGTGTCCCCACTGCCTTGGTACCTTCCTCATCTCCAAAAATCCCATGATATAAACACAGGCTGAGGAAAAGGCAAATAAAAAGAGCTCAGTTCACCATATTTAAGTATTCTGCTTAAGTACACAGGCCTACTTTTTCTAGGTTTTAGCTGGTTCTTTATAACCTTTTGCTTTTTCAGTTATTTTCATGTTAAAACCCTACATAAGTAGGTTATTAACTTACATACCACATATTGCCATTAAAGGCAACAGTAAGTGAATTTCTAGATTTTCTCAAGATTTTTACTCACTTTTTTTTTATTTTATTTTTTTTGTTGCTACAGCTGTGAGCACAGCCAAATGCATCCATGGAATCTGTACAAAAAAGATAGTGCAGTTTTCACTGAGGAGCAGAGCACCTCTGCCTTTGAAGGAGAATTTTGGCGTTGGGTCAGTAATGGATTAATTTGTTGGCACTGGTTTTAACCTGGCAGTTGCTAATTTTGGTTTGGTTCTGGCCAGTGGTGTTCCTGACCTTTGGGGTGAATTCCATGCCTTGAGCAACTTCAGTGACATCCCTGGACAAGCACTGATTCTTTTGGAGGTTTGCATTACTATGAAATATCCGTGTAAAAGTCCATTCCCACTCATTATTCTTCTTAATATCCCTGGAATTTCTCTTCCATTTCACCCCTTCCTTCTGCCAATGTGCACTTCCAGGGTCAAACTACCCCAGGGCCAAGAGCTAGAGGATGTGTACCTGATATTTTGTATATTTTGGAGCCTGCTGGAAGCATTTTATGCTTCTTGGCATGGCAGGGGGCACTCCTACCTTCAGCCCTTCCCAGCTGTAATGTCCCTGCTGGAGCAGGGATCACTCTGAAACGAGCTGCATCCATTCCATGCAGCAGAGCAACAATGTCATTTTGGCACAAATGTGCTTGTTTAGTTGAATTCAGGAGATGTCTGGGATGTGCAACCTTGTTTTTTATGAAAGAGAGCACCTAGGTAGCCTGTGAGACATCTGGAATGACTGAGTCAGGGAATGGTTGGCTTGTAGCACGGAATAGACTTTTGGGATAAAGATGAGGAAGAGTGAGCTTTAATTAAAAATCCTCTCAGCTTATCTTCTCAGGGGAACATGATTTTTCAACCATTAAAAGCAACTGGAGCATTACAGTAGTCTAAAAAATGTTTTCTGGAAGGAGAAATAGCTCCTAATAGAGTGAGGCTTGCACTGTGCAATTCAGAAAATTCAGATAGGCCCCATTTGCTCTGCTGTGTAGAGGATGCAGTTTCTCCACTCACACTGAACAGGGAGACAGTCATCAGCTGAATTAAACAAAATCCAGGGAATTACAGGGAAACTTTGGAAAAATACCTCAGATTGAAAAGAAATGACAGAGCAGCGTGAAGCCTGGATGTTTGTGAGCACAAGTTAACATTTCTCAATTGCCCAAAATACTGGTTTCACCTGTTCTGTTGTTGGAATTGATCTGCATAGACAGATAAAATATTGGCAGTTATTTGCAAGTTGTCAATAAATCAATAACTGGTGTAAAACCACTTAAATTGAGCAGTTTTTCCTACCTATGGTGCTGCTGAATAGCAAGATCAGGCTGTTGTGAGAGGCTGGAAAAGGAAAACAATGAACGGCAGAGAACTTTTA